GCTGGCTGGCAGGTTGCAGAACATGCGTGTCAAAACTGCGAGTTGTTTTTCCCCCCGAGGGGCTCGGAAGTCACATGCTGACAAGGAGGAGGAGCAGCAGCAGCAGCAGGAACGCCTCCGTGGGAGGAGAGCGAGATGTCAACCAGGAGGAGAGAAGAGGACGAAAGGAAAAGGGCGAGGAGAAGGAGGAGCACAGGCAGATGAGCAATAGAGAGAGAGAGAGATGATAAGGTCGTGGAGGGAAAGGAGCAGTGAGATGATAAGGTCGTGGAGGGAAAGATGCAGTAAGAGCCAGGAAGAAGAATAAGAAGAAGAGGAAGCGCCCTCACAATCTTGCGACTTGTTTGAAGCATCACCCTCGACGCCGCCTGCCTGGCCACTTTCTTCCCTGGCCCCTTACCCTTCCGTCTTCTCTACCCCGCAATCCGCAGGGGCGAGGCAGGGATCGGGGAGGAGGGAGAAAGAGAAGAGGGTTCGTGGACGGGGGGTGGGGGGGGCTCCCCTGGTTGCCCGACGCGCCCCGCCCCTTCCCTTCCCTTCCCTCACCTCCATCATGACTACTTACCAGACCACCCCAACCCAACCCGAAGACCCGAATTTCGGGTTGGGGGGGGGTAAGGGTTCCACTCGTGTTTTTGTCGACGTTTCCCGACCCCCCCCCCCCCCACTGGAAATCGAGGGTGAATTTGAGCCTTCGGGTTGGGTTGGGGTGGTTTGGTGGGTGGTGACATCACGCCCCCTCCCACACTGCCTCCTCCCCCCCCCCCGTCCTCCCCAAGTGCACCGCTGCACCTCGGACACGGCCCTCCCGCCCTCCCGCCCCCCAGGCCCCCCAGGAGCGCGGGAGGACGACGTGCCCGTGCCCACGATCCGCGCCATGCGCCACCCCCCCTCGCCGCGGCGCGCCGCGGACGTGCCCTCGCCTGGGTCACCCGCAGGCTCTCGCCGACGATGTCGTCCCACGCGCGCCGCCGGTCGGGCTCCCGGATGAGCGCGAGGGTGGTGGCCGCCGCTGCCTCCACCTGGCGAGGTCCCGATGGGCGGCGGCGGCGGTGGCGGCGGGGGTGGCAGTCGCAGGGCGGCGGCGGTGGTAATCCATCCTTGAAGAGAGCACCGCTGCTCTCCTCCTCCTGCTCTTCCTCCTCTTTCTCCTCCTCCTCCTCCTCCTCCTCCTCCTCTCCTCCTCCTCCTCCTCCTCCTCCTCCTCCTCCCCTGCTCTTCCTCCTCTTTCTCCTCATCATCCTCTTTCTCCTCCTCATCCTCCTCCTCCTACTGACTCCTCCATACCCTCGAGAGGCCCAACGGAGTGGTGACACACGCATATCGAAATGATACCTCGCCCTCCTTGGGCACTGCTAGGCGTGCAATTGTCGCAGCCTCCCTGCGCCCCTGGGGGATCCAGCGGAATATGTTTCGCGCGGACCCAAAATGAGGCCTCGCCCTCCCTAGGCGCTGCCAGGCGTGTAACTGTCGCAACCTTGCTGCGCCCCTGTGGTCCCCTGGGGGGCCCCAGGGAGTGGTGACACACGCGGGACCACATTAGAACTCGCCCTCCCTGCGTGCTGCCTGGCGGGCAACTGTCGCCCCACTGCTGCGGTCCAGCTTGACAGACCCTCCCAACTGTCCCTGACTCTGGTGCTGCCCTCCGTCGCCACCAGTTTCTGTGACCGTCCCTGTCTGGGTCTGGCTGCCCCCGGCCCTGGTGCATCCTCCTCGCCGCTGACTTCCGTGGCTGGCCATGCCCCTGACTGCCTCCAGCCCCAGTGCTGGTCCCCATCGCAACCGACCTCCTTGGCCCACTCGGCCGAGGGGCTGCCCTCCGTCGCCGCCGACTTCCTTATCCGGCTATGTCTGACACGGTCCCTACGCCGGTGCTGCCCACCGTCGCCGTCAATGTATTTGGCACCCTTGTCCCCAACCCCCCAACGTCCCCGTTTGTGGTGACTGCCTACGTACCGCTTCCATTTCAGTGCCTTCCCCTGACCCACTATTTGGGGCCCACGCGCCCATGTTATAATGCCGAGTTGGAAATTGCGGCAAGTTTGGGGCAAGTGTGAATGCAGGAGCCCAGTATGGCCCAACATGGATCCCAGATGGGCCAAGATAGCCCAAGCTGCCATCTAATAGCTCCCAAGATGGACCCAAAACCTATCAAACCAATGCCCAATAACGTAAGTCCTAAGATGGCCCCAGGATGGGTCTAGGTTGGTTCGGGGGAGCCTCAGGGCATGATAATGGCCCCAAGAAGGCCCCCGAAAAGGGCCCGACTGAGCTCAGGGTTTCCCCAGAAACCCCCGTCCACTTCGGCTCACAGAGGCGCCCTGCGCGCCACTAGACTGGCAAACCGCGCCGCGCAGCAAGCAGGCAAGTGCAGAGAAAGGAGAAGAGCAAACAGTCATTGCTGACCAGCGCCCGCCTCGCATTCGCAGCGCACATACTCTGCGACCTTGCTGTTATCGGTGCCGAAATACTCCACATGGCGGTAGGCTTTGACGTGGGCCTCTGCGAAAGAAGGCGTAGCGACAAAGAGGGGGGCCATAATGAAGAGAGAGAGAGAGAGAGACAGAGAGAGAGAGACAAACAGACGGACGGACGGACGCCGATGCCGCGGCCGGGCGCGGCCGCGCGCCTCTAGAGTGACGGCGGGGGGGCCGTAGCCCCTAAGAGGGAAAAAAGAGAGACTAATATAGCCATATGAAAATCGAAAGCAGCATGTACATATACTATACATGCTAGCCAGCGAACAACCCCAAATATGTGTCTAGCACCATGCGGGGTGCAAAACATGTGGTGCACGCTATGTGGCAGAACATAAGTTGTGCAATCCGTGTGGAGCAAGATTCGTGGAACCATCGATTTTTTTCCCAACCATCCTGAGGTGTTGGGTCCTCGTTTTGAACAGACGGTGGCCCGCGTCTCCTCTCCTCTCCTCTCCTCCTCTGCCCCCTCCTCCTCCCTCCTCCCCCTCTTCAGTGCGTTTCACCCACCCAGTACACGGCTTCGTGGCCCCATAGGGAGCTCCACCGAAGGCCACCAGTGGCTGCGTTCGCATGGCGGCCTCGGGCCATTTCGGCACACCCCTCACGAGGATCGTGGCCCCATAGGGAGCTCCACCGAAGGCCCCAGTGGCTGCGTTCGCATGGCGGCCTCGGGCCATTTCGCCACACCCCTCTCGAGGATCGTGGCCCCATAGGGAACTCCACCGAAGGCCCCCAGTGGCTGCGTTCGCATGGCGGCCTCGGGCCATGTCGGCACACCCCTCTCGAGGATCCTGGCCCCATAGGGAACTCCACCGAAGGCCAGTGGCAGCGTTCGCATGGCGGCCTCGGGCCATTTCGGCACACCCCTCACGAGGATCGTGGCCCCCGAAGGCCGCAGTGGCTGCGTTCGCATGGCGGCCTCGGGCCATTTCGGCACACCCCTCACGAGGATCGTGGCCCCATAGGGAGCTCCACCGAAGGCTCCAGTAGCTGCGTTCGCATGGCGGCCTCGGGCCATTTCGGCACACCCAGTACGGCGCTTCGTGGCCCCATAGGGAGCTCCACCGAAGGCTCCAGTGGCTGCGTTCGCATGGTGGCCTCGGGCCATTTCGGCACACCCCTCACGAGGATCGTGGCCCCATAGGGAGCTCCACGGAAGGCTCCAGTGGCTGCGTTCGCATGGTGGCCTCGGGCCATTTCGGCACACCCCTCACGAGGATCGTGGCCCCATGGGGAGCTCCACCGAACGCGCCAGGGGCAGCGTTCGCATGGCGGCCTCGGGCCATTTCGGCACACCCCTCTCGAGGATCGTGGCCCCATAGGGAGCTCCACCGAAGGCTCCAGTGGTTGCGTTCGCATGGCGGCCTCGGGCCATTTCGGCACACCCCTCACGAGGATCGTGGCCACATAGGGAGCTCCACCGAAGGCCCCAGTGGCTGCGTTCGCATGGCGGCCTCGGGCCATTTCGGCACACCCAGTACAGCATTTCACGATATCGAGTCTGCGTAGGGAGCTCCACCGAAGGCCCCCAGTGGCTGCGTTCGCATGGCGGCCTCGGGCCATTTCGGCACACCCCTCCGAGGATCGTGGCCCATAGGGAGCTCCACCGAAGGCCCCCAATGGCTGCGTTCGCATGGCGGCCTCGGGCCATTTCGGCACACCCCTCACGAGGATCGTGGCCCCATAGGGAGCTCCACCGAAGGCCCCAGTGGCAGCGTTCGCATGGCGGCCTCGGGCCATTTCGGCACACCCCTCACGAGGATCGTGGCCCCATAGGGAGCTCCACCGAAGGCCCAAGTGGCTGCGTTCGCATGGCGGCCTCGGGCCATTTCGGCACACCCCTCACGAGGATCGTGGCCTCCACCGAAGGTGCCAGTGGCACGGTTCGCATGGCGGCCTCGGGCCATTTCGGCACGCCCCTCACAAAGATCGTGGCCCCATAGGGAGCTCCACCGAAGGTGCCAGTGGCTGCGTTCGCATGGCGGCTCGGGCCATTTCGGCACACCCCTCACGAGGATCGTGGCCCCATAGGAGCTCCACCGAAGGCTCCAGTGGCTGAGTTCGCATGGCGGCCTCGGGCCATTTCGGCACACCCCTCACGAGGATCGTGGCCCCATAGGAGCTCCACCGACGGCCCCAATGGCAGCCTCCCTTATGGCTCTTACAGCCCTCTCCTGCTTCTGTTCCTCGGTCAGGGGGGCGCCGTCCTCGTCGTCGTCGGCGCCCGCGAAAACGGCCACGAACGTGTCCCTGAGCATGTCGGGTTCCGGCGGGAAGTTGTGGCCACATTGGGAGCGCGGGCGAAGATGTTATTCACAATTGCGGTAGTCACAACTGCGTATGGTTGGGTCTTTCGCCAGGCTAATTACAAAGGGGTTGACACATTCCACGCCCTCGCAAGCATCCCACCCACTCACCCGCAACTTGGCTTGCAAAACCCATGCGGCGGCGATTGCAATGAGTGCTTGGCGTTGGTGGTCCATCTCTACGGCCACGCAAACCGGCGCATGGTCGCGCGCACACCAGCCAGCTAGTTTGGCGCGACCGACGCGGCCGCGGTGGCGCAGATTCCTTGCACTTCCCAACAGGCACTCAATATGAGTCGATGATTTGGGCGGGCGCGGTATCATGGCGACGCCGACAACGGTAGACACGATTACCAAACTTGCGATAATGGTGACGATGGTGGCGATGACGACGGCAAAGCCAATGACGGCGCCGATGTTCATCACGCCCGCCAGCAACGATGACGATAACGGCTTTTCCCAACCATCCTGTGGCGTTGGGTCCTCGTTTTGAAGAGACAACGCTCCGCGTCCCTCCCTCCCGCCTCCTCCTCCTCCTCCTTTTCCTCCTCCTCCTCCTCCTCTTCCTCCTCCTCCTCCTCCCTCTTCCCTGCGTTTCACCCACCCAGCACAGCGTTTCGAACCCGATAGGGAGCTCCACCAAAGGCACCAGTGGCAGGGTTCGCATGCCGGCCTCGGGCACTTTCAGCACGCCCCTTACGAGGATCGTGGCCCCGTAGGGAGCTCCAGCGAAGGCCCCCGATGGCAGGGTTCGCATGGCGGCCTCGGCACATGTCGGCGCACCCCTCACGAGGATCGTGGCCCATAGGGAGCTAGCTCCACCGAAAGTCCCCAGTGGCAGGGTTCGCATGGCGGCTTCGGGCCATTTCGGCACACCCCCCTCGGGAGGATCGTGGCCCCATGGGGGGCTCCACCGAAGGCGCCAGTGGCAGGGTTCGCACGGCGGCCCCGGGCCATTTCGGCGCACCCCTCACGAGGATCGTGGCCCCATGGGAGCTCCACCGAAGGCGCCAGCGGCAGGGTTCGCATGGCGGCTTCGGGCAATTTCGGCACACCCCTCGTGAGGATCGTGGCCCCATAAGGAGCCCCACCGAAGGCCCCCAGTGGCAGGGTTCGCATGGCGGCCTCGGGCCATTTCAGCCCGCCCCTTACGAGGATCGTGGCCCCGGAGGGAGCTCCACCGAAGGCCTCCAGTGGCAGGTTCGCATGGCAGTCCCGGGACATTCCGGCACACCCCTCACAGGGATCGTGGCCCCATAGGGAGCTGGCAGGGTTCGCATGGCGGCCTCGGGACATTTCAGCACACCCCTCACGAAGATCGTGGCCCCGTGGGGAGCTCCTGCGAAGCGCCAGCGGCAGGTTTCGCACGAGGGCCTCGGGCCATGTCGGCACACCCCTGACAAGGATCGCGGCCCCATAGAGCGCCCCACCGAAGGCCCCAGTGGTAGGGTTCGCACGGCGGCCCCGGGCCATTCGGCACACCCCTCACAAGGATCGTGGCCCCATACGGAGCTCCACCGAAAGCGCCAGCGGCAGGGTTCGCATGGCGGCCTCTGGCGATTTCGGCACACCTCTCACGAGGATCGTGGCCCCATGGGAGCTCCACCGAAAGCGCCACTGGCAAGGTTCGCATGGCGGCCTCGGGCCATTTCAGCACGCCCCTCACGAGGATCGTGGCCCCACAGGAGCTCCACCGAAAGCACCAGCGGCAGGGTTCGCCTGGCGGCGCCGGGCCATTGCGGCCCACCCCTCGTGGCCCCATTGTTGTGCTGTTTCAACAACCGCGCCTGGGCGTTGTACTCCGCCTTGTCGACGTGCAACGCCACCTCCACCCTCATGGCTCTCGAAGCCCTCTCCTGCTTCTGTTCCTCCATCAGAGGGACGCCGTCCTTGTCGTCGTCGGCGCCCGCGAAAACGGCCACGAACGTGTTCTTGAGCATGTCGGGCTCCTGCGGGAAGCATTCACAACTGCATATGGTTGGGTCCTTCGCCAAGCAAGTTGAAATTACCCTGGCGAAAGACCCAACCATACGCAGTTGTGACTACCGCAATTGTGAATAACATCTTCGCCCGCGCTCCCGATGTGGCCACAACTTCCCGCTGGAGCCCGACATGCTCAGGGACACGTTCGCGGCCGTCTTCGCGGGCGCCGACGACGACGAGGACGGCGCCCCCCTGACCGAGGAGCAGAAGCAGGAGAGGGCTCTAAGAGCCATAAGGGAGGCTGCCACTGGGGCCTTCGGTGGAGCTCCTATGGGGCCACGATCCTCGTGAGGGGTGTGCCGAAATGGCCCGAGGCCGCCATGCGAACGCAGCCACTGGAGCCTTCGGTGGAGCTCCTATGGGGCCACGATCCTCGTGAGGGGTGTGCCGAAATGGCCCGAGCCGCCATGCGAACGCAGCCACTGGGGCCTTCGGTGGAGCTCCTATGGGGCCACGATCCTCGTGAGGGGTGTGCCGAAATGGTCCGAGGCCGCCATGCGAACCCTGCCGCTGGCGCCTTCGGTGGAGGCCACGATCCTTGTGAGGGGTGTGCCGAAATGGCCCGAGGCCGCCATGCGAACTCTGCCAAATGGGCCTTCGGTGAAGCTCCCTATGGGGCCACGATCCTCGTGAGGGGTGTGCCGACATGGCCCGAGGCCGCCATGCGAACGCAGCCACTGGAGCCTTCGGTGGAGCTTCCTATGGGGCCACGATCCTCGTGAAGAGTGTGC